TAATTATTCTCCCTGAAAACAATAATTTCTATATACGTAGGAATAATAACACTTTAGCGACTCCTTTCTATTACTGTGTTGAACATTTCTTGACTACTTTATCTGCTTAATGCAAGGTTTTGCCAGAGACGTTTTATTTCAAAGACTGATATATTCTAAAATATATTAGGCTTACTTTATTAAGCTATATTACTTATGCAACTTTATACAACTAAATTGTTTATTTTAGTTCACCAAAAAGTCATTTGGAAAATGCTTACCACTATTACACCTTAAATTAGTTTGATAACTTGTTGATCACTCAAAAGGTTACATAGTGCCACAAAAAGAAAAAAAAAATGATCCTGGCTTTTAGTATGTTATTTAACCTCTATTTTGATAAGTTTCATGTAATACAAGAAAAATACTTATTAAGATTAATGTTACAGTTTTAGATACTGTGGTTAAAAACATACTAATTACTACTAAAATGTAGAAGAAAAAAATGATGGTGATATGGTACAGTATATAAGTTAACTCATACATTTTATATTTTTGTTTGATGATACCCTAGAAAAGTTGCTGGTAATTAATTTGGGTATTTATAAAAGAAATCATCATAGTTATTAAAATATGTTAGCTAATCACTATTCAGATATCACATAGATAATTGCTTGTACTGCTTCTATTTTTTACAAATAGAATGTGCTTAAATTGCCATTGATGAAGGGTTATATAATATTTTAGTATTTACAGTGCAGATCAAGGTTCAGGGGGAAAGTGAGTATTTGAAGTTTGAATAGAACATGGAAAAATAAATTTGACAGCTTTGAATATTTCAATATTAAAATATAACTTCAAAGTTGAATATTAAGCAATTAAGGGTGAAAGTAGTTTATGGATATTTCTATTCAATTTTCAGTTAAACTTTACTACTTAAAAATTCTTGTACTTTTTAAGAGATTTCAACAATTAAGGTAGGCTTTTAAAAAGTTAGAATTTATAGCTCTTTATTTCTTAATATTTGGCATGCAAGTGAAAATACAGGAGCAAATTCTATTGAAGATATTTGATGTTATAATCATCATCCAACTTGATTTTAAAAATTGGCTTTATATAGTACCAAGTAATAACTTATCAATTGTATTTTACAGTTGAATGAGCATTTGACATAAATCCCTTTTACTATTAATATACTGTGAAGTGGACCACACAGTATGTGTTAGTGGTAAAAAGTAGTCTGTCTTCTAAGTTTATCCTTTTAAATGTATTACAGTAAAATGCTGGGTGTATAGGGACACATTTATGGTTTAAGTCTTGTTCAGTATTTTATGACTAGAAGATTAGATATTTAAGTAGTCAGATAGTTTCTTTATAAAAGTTAACAGTTTTTAAGTTTCATTTAGATTTTTCTCATTTAATTAGTGTATATTTTTGTTACTGAGACTTTTCCTTGAGGATAAAACTAAACTTAAAATCTTATTCTCAGAAAGATTAGCATAACCAGTGATGTTTAATCATAGAAAAAGCTTGAAAAAAAAGTTAGCACCTAAAGAGCTTTTGCCTACTAAGTAATCACTTAAAAGATTACCCAGAACTAAATTGTATGTAAATATAAACAAAAACAATACAAAGATTATTTGTGAACACAGTTCTTTCTCACAGTTAATCTAAAATGTTCAAATTTGTATATAGTGTAAAAAATAATTACCCAATAAAAATTTCATCAGTAGAAGCTCACCATGCTTTTTTCGAGGACAACCCCCGTCCCCCGCCCCCGCGCTTTTTTCCCTGTGATAGTTTATTTGTGTACTGGTTCACCTGGCTCATATCTATGCCTTCTAATCCCACATTTTGTTGTGGAAAGAGTGGACCTGCCAGACTCGTGGTTGTATTTCTTTTCTCCCTTGTTTTACAGACATCTTTCATGTAATATTTCATCCACCCTAAAAATCGGAGTACAGGCATCATGGGCGGCTGTGCTAGCAAATCGGGGTTTCTCCTGCCCCGCTCCAGTAATCTGCTCCAATCCCGAGCAGTCGCCTCATCCGGGTGGTCAGATGACAGCGAGTCCCCGTGTGGCTCCACGTCATCACATACTGACCAAGTGCTACTGTGCGAGTCCCCACCCTGACTGGGGGGTGGGGGGTGAGGAAGGGGGAAAAGCCAGTGTATTGCGGGAAGGAGGTGTGGTTGAAAGTCATCCTGTATTTTAGCATACCAGAGAAATTACTTGTTCTCTGAGTGGACTGGTATCTTTGTTGGATCGTCAGTCGTGGCAACAAATACTGTTTGCTATTGCTTGACAAAAATTGAAAGTCCTAAGGAACTCGGTGCAGTTACTCAATTTGAGAAACCACTTCTTGGTGATTAACCAACCCACCTCAGAGTTGTAGGGTTGGTTATGCAGAGGTGGTTAATATTTTGTCAGGGACATGAACATTTATGAACCACAACTAACCAGTTAAACTTTAATTTTAAGCAGTAATTTGCTTTTGAAATTTTATAGATATGTCAATTCTAATTTAAAATTAAAACTCTTAATATTTGTACACTTTTCTTAGAGTCTACAATAATTTCATTTTTCTTCAAAAGTAGTTCATAACTTTTCCTCCCACTTAATTTATTGAGTACCTTATTTCATGGCAAAATATATGAGTACATTGCATTATATTTAATGAATGTTAAATAATATGAATTAACATGTGATCTAATAATAGGTATTTAAGTTAATTTTCTTTTTGGTAATGTAATTAAGACTATTCTCCCATTTTCACCTTATTTACTAGGGCTGTTCATTTATTTAGTTACTTGGAAAATGAGAGTCATAGGTAAAATGTCTTTTGGAATTTATGGGGAAATCATGTTTGTATAATAAAAAGAACTTCTTTTAGGAGTTTAAAAGACTGCCTCAAATCTTGTTTAACTAAGTAGCTACCTGACCTCCAAAATTATTTAACTCTGATGTTTCCATTTTAACATCTATAAGATGGAGATTATTTTATTAATGAAAATTGAAATAATGTGAAACTTCTTAGTAAATTGTCTTTAAAGTGTTCCAAGTTGCAAAATGATTATCCAGACCAAAAAGAAAGTGCCTATTTCCGATGTTATATGTAGAATGAATTTGTAATGTGATTTCAATTTTTTATTCAGACTTTATTATCCCCAACCCTCTTGCCTTATGTACAGAATTATCACAATCCCTAAGTTACCTAAAACCAAGCATTATATAGAGACTAAATAAATAAAATGTACATAAATAAAATGTACATAAATATTGTTATAATTTTAAAGGTATAATTTAATTTATAGATTTCTATCATGTATACTCCTAAATACTAAAAGAATAGTTGTATGTCAGAAGGCAGATTTCTTATAAATGTAAAAGTAAACTTCTTGAAGAAATTAGAAATAACTTATGTAGAAACTTACAGGAATTTGTTTATCATGACTTATAAATTACTAGTCAACACACACTTGTGAACATAGTAAGATAAAGCAAAAATTTACTGAGGTTATATGGTATAATGTTAACTTACTAGTCTGGTTTACTGGGGTCTAGTTTTGGTGTAATTCAACAAATCTCTGTTGAGGCACCTATTTTGGACTAGGCCCAGTGAAGGGAATACAACAGTGTACACAATTATCGAAAATTCCTTGAAAGAGGCAACTGAACGGGATTCTAAAACATGGATAAAATTTGAATAGTCAGAGGCCTTGGAAAGGTTAAATAAAGGCATGGAAATAAGTATAGAATAAGACGACTTGGTTTTCATATGGTAAAAAAAAATTTGTTGGCTGGTGCAGGAAATACATAATAGCAGTGCAACAGGAAATCAAGGATGAGGTGGGGCTTTGATTGAATTGCCAAGCTAACATAAACTGCTTAAGATTTGTGATCAATGATGTGATTGAACCATGATTTCAGAAAGACACTTTGTTAATTACATTACCAACTTTATCAGCATTATTTTAGGTAAGTCATATTGATGTTTGGAGCCCTCTGAAACGAAAGTCCTTTTTTTCTACTCTTAAGATACTGTTTGAATTATATAACAAAAATGCAGGTTATTGGCCCTCCCTGGTGGCCCGTGGGTTAAAACACAGCACTGAGAAGATAAAGCCGCTTCCGCATGAGTTCGATCCCCGCCTGCCCGGGAGGTGACCACATGGCGTGGCAGACCTCTCCCGACCTGCCCGCTGCTCTCCTCAGCAGTGTACTCGTAGATCTGCCTGTTCTGTTGCCCACTCTGTCTCTGGTGAAGCCTCTCACCACCCCTGAGACTCTGGCCTGTACCCCAGTTCTGTATGCACAAATAAATAAATCTTTAAAAAAAAATGCAGGTTATTTTCATAAAATCAGTTATGATCCATTAATGCCTTAATGTACGGGTGGCTTGTTTTACTTCTTACTTTGTGAAGGAATTTATTTCTAACTTCTTTTAAACAACAGGAACTTTTAATAACTTACAACATGGCTAAGGTTTTTTTCTTTTTAGAAATTATATTTATGTCTATCCTTGAAGGTAGTGAATGTTTTGAAATGAAAATTATTTAAATCTATTTTTTTTTACCATCTCAGATTTAACCACAAATTGGAAAAAAATAAAAACTCCAGTTGTCCTCTATCTCCAAAAGTTTGTAACTTAGGTATTGTCTACACATTATTTTGGCTTACTTGACTATCTCATAGAGTTTTTTTAAAGTTTGGTTTTAAATAAATTTTAGCTAATATCTCTAGGTAAATTTAGAAAGAAAAAGGGTTTATTTGGTAGTTTCTATATTTACATATAGAAAAATGCAGATAATGATGTCTTTTCTAGTAAACTTTTTGGAAATTTGGAGATAAGCTTAAAGGAATTCTGTTCCTAAACTGGTTATCATTATTAGTGTGTTTTCACTCATGGATTTTATTCAGAAGAAGAATGTTAGTGGTCTTTTTTTTTTTTTTTAATGATGACTTGAACCATGATTCAGTTGAGCTAATATGTTTCGTTTTGCTTTTTGTCTTTGAATAGTTGGAGTGGATAATGGGATAGAAGCAATTGAAAGTGCAGCTGCATTTCTTTTCAAGACATTTCACTTGACGGACTGTGTTGGCCACAGGGAGACAAAGGCTATCAAACAGATGTTTGGTCCTTTTCCATCATCATCTGCCACTGCTGCTTGTAATGCTACTAATCGAATTACTTCTCGTTTTCATCATGACAGTTTTACTGCTCTTCTCCAGATGACAGAAGAGGAATATGGTGGTGAGAGAGTTTTATTTGGTAAAAACTTAGTATTTTCATTTGACATGCATGATTTGGACCACTTTGATGAACTGCCAATAAATGGTGAATCCCAGAAAACTATCAGCCTAGATTACAAGAAGTTTCTGAATGAACATTTTCACGAGCATTCTACCCCAGATCTTAAGCCTGTGGAAAAAACAAATGACTCCTTTTTGTGGTGTGAAGTTGAAAAGTACTTAAATGCAACTTTAAATGAAATGGCTGAAGCAACAAGAATAGAAGATCTTTGCTGTACTTTATATGATATGCTTGCTTCTGTTAAAAGTGGTGATGAACTTCAGAATGAGGTATTGTTGAAGTTATTGAAATTTTATGTTGTGAACTCTAGTAATGTATTAACCTTTTAAAACAGGAACCTTTGGCAGAGAAAGTACTTCTTTTTATTGTGCAACAGTAGTCAAATAGAAGACATGAGTGTAATTGTCTAGTATACTGAAGCAAACAGGGCAATGGTTAGGGTGTCTTGTTCTAATTAGTGGAACAGTTATTAGAATGTAAATGTAACATGTTATTATATTTTAATAATTAGTAGTGGAATTTCCCCAAAAAGCGTATAGGTTTCAATGACATCTGTTTCTTCTAATAACATTTATACATCATTTTATATTTAAGTTTCTTTGATGAAAATACAGTAAATAATAGAAATATTTTACTAGTATGTGCTTATTATAATTGAATACTTAGCAGTTTCCCTACTATGATTATTATAAGCTGAAATTTATAAATGTTGAACTAATGAAATATTTATTTTCTGAGTTGGACATAAAACTATTCTTTTTACTTCTCAATATGTAGAGTGAAATTTCTCTTTTTTAGTTCCTCACCACAGTTTTTAAGTATGTAGTGGAAGAGAAAACATTTTTTAGTTCTCAATATTTTCTTTACAATATGTTGTAATAATTTGGCTTTTGTAAGATCAGCCTGAATTTATGTATCTTACAGTAATCACATATTTACCACATAGTTACATAGATGAGGTACAGTTTAGTTACTGGTAATAAAAGAATGAGTTAGTATAGCAATTTTGCTCTCAGGGAATTAATATTTAGTAGGAAGAGACATATCACTAAGTAAATATATCTAAATGCCCAGAAATTTAAATATATTGAGAGGAGAATGGGCACAAAAAATTAGTTAATAGGTGCTGAACAGGTCACTAAGTAAATGTACCTAAATGTCACAGGTATTTAAATATATAGAGAGGAGAATGGGCACAAAAATCAGTTAATAGGTGTTGTACAGGAGTTAACTATGGTAGAAAAATTTATTCACAGAGGAGGTTTAATCTTGAGACAAGTTTTAAAATAAAATGAAGAGAAGTTCTAGTTTGAAATGTGGAGAAAAGTAATCCTAGTGACAATAGTAAGAATACTAATACTGCATTTGAGTACCTACTATATGAATATGACATTCTTTTAAATTGTGTGTTATCACTTCATTTAATTCTTACAGAAATGCTTTGAGATCATTATTACTGCGCTAGAAACCCTAAACACTGACAAGCTACAGTCTGGGGCACTTTTCTCTTTTATATGTGATTTAAATATATATACATTCATACATACATACATATATATATACACACACACATATATACACATACATATATATACACACATATATACATATATATATAGGAAAACTCAACAAAACTATATTTACCATGGTAACTAAGTAAATGTTATTTTCAAACAAAATCTCCAAAAATGTTTTTCTTATTTTTGGTAATTCAAGGAACTTTTTTTTGGCTATACTGAATATTGGTCGCTGCAGGTATTTACAGAAACATTGGGAAATTTGCCCATAGTTACAGAATAAATAAGTAGATCCAGGATTTAAAATCAGATATTCTAACTTTACTGCCACTGCTTTCTTTGCTAAGAAGTAGTTCTCTACAGTTACCTGTATCTGGTGCTTTGAAACCTCAAGCATTTCAAATACATTGAGGAGTCCTTGATATTTTTAATTCAAGATTAAGGCTCTAGTCATTACAATTAAACCTTAGAATTTGATTGGGCTAGAGAATTTTTCAGGGGTTTTTATACTTGTGAGATATATTTGCCTTTAAAATTATTTAAACTTAAGTAAAATTAATAAATTTAGTGTAGTTGAATGAACAAGTAAGACTTGAACATTCCATTGCTCTTTTCTTAATCAGGACCTATTCATTCTTGGTACACACATCTCTCTGAGGTCAGTGTTTCATAACTAGAATGGTAGCAATAAATTTTATACTATTGGGATTATATAGCTAATGAACTTTCAACAGAAACTTTTTCCCTAGAAGGTAACAGTATTAGTAATAGCAACACTACCATGTTTTGAGTGCCTATTCTGTGTGCAAACCTGTACTTAACCAATTTCTTCATAGTCCAGTAGTGTGTAGGGGTGGTGTCTTTTATATAAAAAAGGAAAAATACTTAAAATTCAGTTGTTTCTTGATATCATAAAGCCAGACAGTGATAGAAATTGTGGGACCTTTTTTTCCCCTTAGCATAAGTTCACTATCCAGCAGGCCATCAGCTTTTCAAGAACTGGCAAGGCTGTTTGTACAAGTGTCTTTTGTTACAAAGCCAGGTCAAAATTTGTTTATTTAACCCATTGTTCCCAATGGGCAAGATACTAAGCACTTGTGAAACTCAGTTCCCTAATACACAAAATGTTTGCTTCACAGTGTTGCTGTAAGGATGTATGAGATAATAAATATGAAGTACTTAGCATAATATTTCATAAAGTATAGAAATATTAGAGATTTCCAAATGAAGAACTGACTGAGTGAAATGAAGAGGTTAGAAATCTGATAAAAATAGTTTTAATATTTCTGCAGGAAATTAGTTACAAATTAGGCTCTCAAATTTTAATATACTACCTTCAACATTAATGAGCTTCACAGATTTGCATATATCAAAGTTTTATTAGTGTATACCTTGTAAATCAGTAAATAATTTTTGTATGCCATATAAGAGATATTTCAAACAATTAGTAAAGGCTAGATCTCAATTTAGAGAATTATTGTTTTGCTTCCTTAACTCTTACTATTTTAAAGAAAAGCCTTAGAATTGAGCTTTGAAGTTACTTTTCATTGTAATAGTATTTGGTAAAACAGAAAAGGAATTAATGAGAATATCAGCAGTAGACGAGTTGTATTGAAGTATACATATCTCTTGATATAATATTAGTAGTAGATGTTATGTGCAGAATTATTATAATACTGATATAATAATTGCTGTGCAGTTAATGTGTAATCAGTTCTCAGAAAAAGTTTTTCTGAAAAATGCAATTTTGAGTTACATTGATATGGTTGTAGTTGTTTTTATGCAAATGAAGCTCATTCTTTATGGAATTTATAATTTGACATTTGCTGTTATTTAGCATTATCTCTTAGCTCTATGCAAATGTTGTTATTTGAACCATGCAAGTTTATCTCTGAATCTAATTCTGTTCCAGGATTTACTTGGTTAAGATTTCTTCTCAGGATTGAGTATACTTTTTTACATATTGTACTATGAATGTATCCAGTAGCCTTTTATATAGAGTAATTAGCATGACAATAAGTGCTTCTGAAACATTTTGTTCTCAGATATCCTTTACACTCTTAAAAATTAGTGGGGAGCACAGGGAGCCTTTCATCATGTTGCTTACTAGTGTTTTATTGATTTATATTTTGTTAGAAATTAAAATAGTTTTAATGTAGTAAATTAATATTTTGAGACATTTTAACTAACACTAAATACGACAGTAATATAAATAGATCTATTACATTAATATTAATAATAATTGAATTATATTATTATGGTTAACATATTTGTGAAAATATGTAGCTTTTATGAGAGTGGCATTACATTACATTTTCTCAAATAATTTCAATTCCTAATTTAATAGAAGACAGCTGTATTTTCCTCTGTGCTGCTGCATTATCACACATCATGCAGCCTCCACTCACTTTTTATTTGTTGAAAGATGAGAATTAAGGAGGCAAATAATATTTTGTATTTTTTGTGAAAATAATTTGACCTTGTGGACTTTCTGTAAGAATCTTGGAGAGTCCAGATCATATTTTAGGACCCACTGATTTAATGTATATACTACAGTTTGGTTAGGAGATTGTAGTGATGTTTGTCATACACAAAATAATGACTAACATTAAAGCTTTGTGAAAAGGTTCTCTTAGGTGTTTTACATTTTTTTGGTAGTCTTAGTGTTGCTAAACAAAAACACAAACATCAACCAGGTTGGGATTAAAAGTGATGATCTTTTATCACAGTGTTGCTGTAAGGATGTGTGTGAAATAAATATGAAGTACTTAGCATAATATTTCATAAAGTATAGAAATATTAGAGATTTCCAAATGAAGAACTGACTGAGTGAAATGAAGAGGTTAGAAATCTGATAAAAATGAGTTTTAATATTTCTGCAGGAAATTAGTTACAAATTAGGCTCTCAAATTTTAGTATATTATCTTCAACATTAATGAGACATGTTGCTCTTTCTAGGGACTTCCACCAAATAATCAGAAGGCCCTTTCCCCACCTTCAAGTCTGAATAGAGCTGCCTTTGGTAAAATTAAACTTTAAAACTTCGAGAATGTTTAGAATCTTAGAATTTCACCACCCTTTGTATTGGTATGTCTAACATTCTAGCCAAATAAAAATGCCCATATTATGAGGTCCATTTCGTCTAATAAAGAATTCTCTTTTTCCAAAAGGCATCCTATTCTTTTTTTGAGTAGTTTTCTTCTAAATCCTTCTGCTAAATGATGATTCTAATTATCTCTGCTATTTAGTACTATCTTTAAAGTCTTAGACATCTCATTTACATATCTTTATTTCAGACTTGTGGCTGTCTATTTTCTCATTGCTTGAAGTGTAAACTCTGCTCAAGTTTCCTCTGTCAATATTAGTCCATTATCAACACAATTTTAATAACAGTTGTCCAGTGTTCTATAAAGCTAAGTATAGAATGTACTGACATGTCCTCTTATATTCAAAGACACCAAATTTTCAGCGGCTTTGCCTTCTAAGAACAACTGATAATCTCACAGGAAAAGGGGTTACACCAATTTGTCATGACTTTTCTTGGGGAATTCTGGTACTTTTTCTGTTGCATTGCCATATATTGATAGTAAATTTATAGTTAAGTAGTTTCATAATTAAGCATTTTAAGTTCTTTTTAATCAGGGAATTTTGTCTTAGCTGGCACTTCTATTTTCTGTTATTTCTTGTAGATGGCAGTTATTCTAAGTCTAAATGGTTTCTGAATCTTGGGATATGATGTTCAGGGTCTGAAC